CAGCCGTGAAGCAGCAGTACTCTGACGTTATGCAGAAACACATTGCCAAGGGTTACGTGAGACGCGTGGACCCGGATGAGATAGCCAAAGACGGCAACGACCAGTGGTACCTACCCCATTTCCCGGTAGTACGCTCAGATAAATCCACGTCAAAAGTGAGAATAGTATTTGACGGTGCAGCCCGCTGGGATGGACACTCCATCAACGATGAGATGTTTACAGGTCCTGCACTTCAAAACGACATGACCAGTGTGTTGATCCGATTCTCACTGGAACCAGTTGCGCTTGTTGGTGATGTGTCGGAGATGTTCCTCCAAGTCAAACTGGCGGAACGTGACCAGCGCTATCATCGCTTTCTGTGGTATGATGACAATGGCCAAGTGCAGGTGTATCAGTTCACCCGTGTGCTCTTCGGCGCTAAGGCGTCACCGTATCTGGCAGGACGAGCGGTGAAAGAGGTCATCAAGCACCACGGTGATGAGTACGAGTCTGACGTCGTGCAGTGCCTAAGCAAAGACCTCTACGTTGACGACATGCTGTCATCACTACCAACCACACAGCGTGCCATCCAGGCCAGAGAGCAAACGCAGCAGCTACTTGCCAAGGGCGGTTTTCACATGCGAAAATGGCTGTCGAACAAAGCTGAAGTGATGAACACCATACCAGAGGAAGATAGGTCACCTGATGTCGTCCGAGATGTGGACAGTGACACCAGCCTCCCAACTGTCAAGACTCTCGGCGTCAGTTGGAACGCCGAGAAGGATGCCTTCACCTTCCAGCATCAAATGAAGGACATCACGACATTCACCCGACGCTCTGTGTTGCGCGGCCTGGCCTCCATATTCGATCCGCGTGGCCTGATCTCGCCATACGTCATCACGGCTAAGGTACTCCTGCAGGACGCCTGGTTGCTGGGACAGGGATGGGACGACCTGCTGCCAAAGGAACAAGTCGTCAAGTGGCGGGGTTGGTTCCAAGGCCTCCCAGACCTGAGTAACCTGGAGATCAGCCGCTGTTTCAAGGATCCACAACAGCCATCCGAAGACGCCAGTCTTTCCGTGCACTGCTTCTCCGACGCCTCAGATCGGGCGATAGCAGCCGCTGTGTATGTCAGAGCCAGCTACCCAGACGGTACCACCCGAATAACGCTAGCGATGTCGAAAGCGAAGCCGGCACCAGTGAGGCGACAGACGATCCCGCAGCTTGAACTGAGAGCAGCTGTGCTTGGCGTTCGCGTTAGTCATCTCGTCGCTGAATCCATCGGTATCCCAGTGTCAGCTCACACATTTTGGACGGACTCGATGAACGTCTTGGGTTGGGTCCAAAGCCACAGCCGGCGCTACAAAGTGGACATTGGCAACCGAATCTCTGAGCTCCAGACCTCAACGAGAGCACACCAGTGGCGACATGTTCCCGGAAAGAACAACCCTGCAGACAAAGGTACTCGTGGTTTGTCTGCTGCATTACTGTGCCGTGACGCAGTGTGGTGGTCCGGTCCACAGTTTCTTCGCCAGCAGCCAGATGAGTGGCCTCAGATGAAGGAAGTCAGCACATCCTCGCTGCCTGGTCAGCTCAAGACGGCGCTAGTTGCAGTCGTCCCTCCACCCTCCGAGATCCTGGGTCGCTTTAGCACATGGTCGCGACTGGTACGCGTGACAGCATGGTGCAAGCGATTTGTGGCAAACTGTCGGCAGGCAGTCAGTGACAGCAAGTCCACGAAGGGGGATGCCGCATCGGACAGCCAGTCCAGCACGCCAGTGAGAGTGCCAGTACAGCTTGGCGGCACCCGCTCCATCAGTGTTCCAGTTCTCAGCACTGACGAAGTATCAGTAGCAGAGCGGCACTGGATTGCAACTGCCCAGAAGGATTGCCATGGTACAGCATACCATCGTCTACAGTCTAGGCAACCGATGTTGAAATCGGACCCTCTGGCACCTCTCTGTCCCCAGTTCGATAGTGCAACAGAGTCACCCCTGATGACGGTAGGAGGTCGATTGCAAGCTACAAAGAACATGCCAAGTGGCGTACGCCACCCAGTCATCCTACCAGCAAAGCACCGAGTAACCCAGCTGATAATCGAACAGGAAGATCATCGGTGCTTCCATGCAGTTGGGCCACAGCATCTTCTGGCCAATCTGCGACAACGCTACTGGATTGTTCACGGAACATCAACAGTCAAGGCCGTTCGAAGCAACTGCGTCACTTGCCGTAAGAACCGTGCGGAGCCAGCGTCCCAGATGATGGGCCAGATTCCAGACTTCCGAGTTGCAGGCTTGTTGAAACCGTTCAGCCGTACAGGAGTTGATTACGCGGGTCCCTTCCTGACCAAGCAGGGCCGAGGTAAGACGCAGGCTAAGCGGTACCTGTGCCTGTTCACATGCCTTGAGACTCGTGCCTGTCACCTAGAGGTATCCTATGGCCTCTCCACTGAGTCATTCCTGTTAGCATTTGAGAGATTCACAAAGCGCCGTGGTGTCCCGCTTGAAATGGTCAGCGACAACGGGACCAACTTCACTGCCGCGGAGCGAGAACTCCGTGAGGCCGTCCGGGCCATGGACAAGGAGAAGATCGAGAAGCGACTGGTCAGTGATGGCGTGCGATGGCGCTTCAACCCACCTAGAGCACCACATTTCGGCGGCGTATTCGAATCCCTCATCAAGACGGCTAAGCGCGGACTCACAGCAGTACTTGGGAAAGCGGACGTCACAGATGAAGAGTTAGTGACTGCCATGTGCCAGGTTGAGGACATGATGAACTCGCGCCCGCTGACAGTTGTAAGTGCCGATGCAGCTGATTTGCAGCCTCTAACACCAGCACATTTCCTCGTCGGACGACTCGACCCACCAATGGCTCTGGAAGTGAAAGCAGACGAGCACCCCAGCAGAGACCCACGCAAACGTTGGTTGTATGTTCAGCGGCTTGTAGCAGACGTGTGGAACAGGTGGCGAGATGAGTATGTTCCCTTGTTGAATGTCCGTCGTAAGTGGCAACGTCAAGGTCGCAATGTAGCCGTAGGTGACATCATGCTGTGTCTTACATCAAACACTCCCCGTGGAACATGGCCCATGGGTAGAGTCACAGCAGTGCATCCTGGTGCAGACAAGCTCGTCCGAGTAGTGGATATTAAGATCGGCGACAAGATCTACCGACGGTCTATCCACCATCTAGTACCTATTCTGGACACCGAGTAGTTTGTGCCTTGTGTATCTGAAGTGCTACAGGCAGCCCTGTGACAGTACTCTCTCTCTCTCTCAACCTATGAAGTTTTTCTTTCATCATACAGTACCGTAGTAGTACTCACTCGTCACAGTTTGTTTGCTGACCCTGTGCTCGTGAGTGAAGGGGGATATGTTCTGGAATATTCCCAGCTTGTGGTGAATCTTGCATGACCTTTCATTGTACTCAGGTTTCATTTCTTTTATTCTAGTGCATGCTGCTGGCGCCTGATGTATTGACTATTGGTACCGCAGGCCAGTCTCAACCTTTGCATAGTCTGAGATTCAAGTAGCGTATCGTTTGATGCATGTGCTGTCTCCATGCTATCTAGTCGTAATATATTCACTCGTCTTTGCATTTGTGCACAGTCCTGTGGATACTCGCAGGCTGCGGTTGCGCTCTCGCTTTGGTCATTCTAGAATGTATACTTCCATGCCTTTGAAGTTTTTTAGTTGTCAGTTTTGAACTGTAGGAAGCAGTTTACAGTTTTTCTTCTTGCAGTTTTATCTCAGAGGAGAAAGTTCTTGGTCTCATACTGTTACGAGTTGCTGTTGTATCTGGTTGAACGCATGCCGGGGCAACAGAGGGCAGCATGAGTAGCCATTGGTATTACCAATTTTTGTATTCGTGTCTGTTTTCGGGTTCAGGTCTTCCTCGCTCACTTTCTTTTATATCCTCTTTTTCTGGTTTTGTCCATGCTTTGTTGTATTTAGAGTGAATTGGTGCCTGGGGCCAATGATGACATGATCAACTCGGATGATGGCACTTCAAGCGATTCAGGCAGTGATGGTGATGGTGAGCCTCCAGAACCTGTACGGGAAGATGTTGACCCTTCTGATGATTCTGATGTCGTGCCAGTGCGCGTAGTGCTACCCACTGCAGCAGCCACGCAACGAACGACTGCGACCAGCAGTATCAAGCGGGAGCCCATCCCACCCTCCTCCATTGGGAAGCCCAAGAGGCAACGGATGCAGGCAGGGCCAACTCCTCTGCAGAATGAACTGGATTTTCATCTTCTGGAGACGGTAAAATCCATCCAGACCAGCAAAAAGCCGAACCCAGCACCATCTGTATCAGTTGACCCTTTTGGTGAAGAGGTAAACCAGACACTGGCACGCCTTTCACCAAGGGTGAGGAGCAAGGCCAAACGAGATATCATGGCCTTATTGGACAACGCTGAATTCCCAGATGACAGTAACTAGTGTATTTGCTCTGTTCTTGATTTTGATTTTGAGATCTCATTTTCTTGACACTGCTTTTCACTCTTGATAAGTCATTGCAATAATACAAGTGTGCGGCAGCAATGACCATTAATACGTCTGTTTTGAGGTGAAGGGCAGTCCAATGTGATGAACTGGCTGCTGTGGAGCTAGTGCAAGTTTTATGAAATGTGGTGATGAGACTTGTCCTTGCAAAGTACATATCAATTGTGAGAACGATATAACCTTGACCCATGCACAGCTTGTAATACCTTGATTTCAGTAAGAAGGTGACATAGATATCTTTCACCAAGGTAGCTGATTAACGAACTACCGTTGCCCGCACACGAGCAAACATGAGAAAATTCAACATTGCATGTGAGATGCGGAGAAAACAATTTATACAAAGAAGCCACCATGGATATCCAGACTGCCATAGATTGCTATGAGAGAGCATAATTATAAGAAGAACATCTAGATTTCTGAACAGCAGCAAAACGTCGTTCACGTCCAAATACAGCACATTCCGCAAGTGCCACAAACAAAACAACATAGACAAGTTTTAAAAGGTTAAAGGAACAAAACACCAATCAACTGTGCACAGTACGCTTCACACACATGATGAATTGAATAGAACACAGTGTGGGAGTCATACACCACAAACGAGGCCAACACTTGATGCGACAAGGGTCAAGTGAAGACCTGCAGAGAGCAAAGACAACAAAAAAAATTAACAAGACTATTAGACAGTGGGAGAATAGATCAAGCAAACAACAACAACAAAAACAACAACAACAACATTAACAACATAATTGTTCATGAAGGTCGTGATGAAATAGTAATTCATTTTGTCTCATGCATTTTCTTCTGTTGGGTCATTAATCAGGAACACAGAAAATATGCTTGTGCGCAATTTTCGGATATTAAAAAAATACGAACTTACTTTCAGAGCATCAACTTTCAAAGGCACCCTACCCTGTTGACTGGATATGCTTCTTCTGCCAACTCAGCCTGCCCCGGCGTGAGCGGAAGTAGGCAGCCAGGTTGACACGGACATCACCGGCACGAATGGAATACCTGCGAGTAGAGCGAAAAGCCAAGAGAAATCAAGAGCACAAAATTAATGAAATCATGGTAGGAGCAGCATACCGTTGAAGAGGAAATTGCATCGTCTGTAACTATATTTCACTGTACTATGTACTAAAATTATAGCTTTCAAATTCAATATACTTTTATTATGTAGAACAATCACAACATCCTGACACAAAAAGTACCCTGATAATTAACTGTAATTAATGTAGGGCTCGCAATAATACATACCTGTGAGCACCATGTTCATTTATCGGCAGCAGGCCAGTTGACTTCTTCTTCCGCCAATTCCCTGGGATCAAGTTTCCGTCTCCATCTTCACTGTCTGTGAACCCAGCTGGACAATAGAGAGCAGACTCTTCAATCCTGAGGAAGTTATGCAGTGCAACTGCTGCCTTCACACATCTGATTACACTGTCCGGGTGAGCAGTGACCGCTTGCTTGAGGAACCGCCACCGGGCAACCAGGATGCCAAAGGCATTCTCAATGACTCGTCGAGCTCGTGAGAGGCGGTAGTTGAAAACTTTTCTTGTGGTGGTTTAACCTCGGCCAGGAAAAGGTCTCATTAAATACGGTTTGAGGGGGAAAGCTTCATCGCCAACAAAGAAGTATGGCATCTTGCCAATCCCATGAATCTCCTCCGCTCTGGGCAACGGCACTTGGTTATTGCACAGGGCTTGCCCGAATGCAGAGGAAGCAAAAACACCACCATCGCTGTGTCGTCCAAATTGGCCGACGTCAACAACAAGGAAACAATAGTTGGCGTCACAAGTGGCCATAAGGTTTACGGAAAAGCTTCCCTTATAATTATAAAACATAGCCCCAGAGTTGGCAGGCTTCTGCATGTTCACGTGCTTCCCGTCGATCGCTCCCAGGCAGTGGGGCAGGTTCCAGCGATCTCGGAAACCATCACTGATATCCCTCCACTGGTCTGCTGATGACGGGGCCGAAACAAGGTGAGCTTTACATAAAGCTAACCAAATAGCACCAGACACTTCCTTCACTATTCCATGGATGGTGGATATGCCATGCCGAAAAGTAAACGGTAGCGCCACAAGAGAGGAACCAGTAGCCAAGTAGCGCAACGTTATGACCAGCCTCTCCTCCGTGGTGATGTTGTGGCGCAGGGTGCTACCGTGTCGCTTTCGTTCCCTACACGGGGATACCTTTGCCAATAGGATATTGAACGATGCCACGGACATTCTTGTATATCGGCGGAACTTCGTTTCGTATGCTTTTATCTTTTTGAAGAGGGTTGAGTACTCCCCAACATCTTCGCCACCCGATCGCTGGAAGCCTTTGGGTGAACCCAGACTGAACGGAATGAAAGCAGCTGCTCATACCTTCTCCGTCTCCTCAGGAATACCCGAATCACGATCAGGAGCGACAAAATATCCTCTACCTCCATGGTGAAACAAAATGAGAAAGTGAAATGAAGGCGATATCACCCATATTTTGTGCCCAGAAGCGAGCTTCCAAGGCCACGCCACTGCCACTGGTCAGTAGATCTACGCTCAAACGCCAGTCAATACGCGCTGAAAATTCCGACAGGTTGGCCCCCTCACATACGCGCGCTTTTGTACGCTGTACGCCCCAAAAAGCCAGCAAAAACGCGTGTACGCTTGGTTTCACGCGTACACGCGCCATGTAGAATAGATCCATAAAAAATTAAAAATAATACAATTACAAGTCTATAAACAAGGTAAACCTGCTCTTGAGCTAGCTTGATTGTACAATCCGTGTAACTACTTACCGGTACTAGTACTTGACTCCTGGTCTACTCCAGCCCCCTACTGCGTACTGGCCTAGCTCTCGACTCGTGTCGACCGGTGTCCGTTCTTCCTGCTAAATGCGCACATGCAGCGCGGCGCAAAAAAACGGGAAATAGTCGCTATTGTACAGTGAGTATATTATTATTAGTAATAGCATGCTGCTCTTTCAACTACATGTACTTTCAAGTTTGGAGGGCCGATGCAGTGGAGCGTGGGCGCGGTTCATGAGAAGCGAAAGATTTCACTGTTCAGCTGCTCGAGGTGTGCGCAATAAGTAATAATGGCGGTGCCAGAGACTGACGGCCCGGGCCCGTACAAGGGCCATAGCGGACCAGTCATCACCGGCTGCTGGCAGCTATCAGCCGGGCACCACGGCCAGCTAGACAATGACGAGACGTTTGCTGGTCTGCAGCGCCGCATCACACTGGGCATGTCGACACTGGACTGTGGAGATATCTACACCGGCGTTGAGACACTGATTGGAAAGTTTCGCACGTCCGCGCAACACTGCACTCCGGAGATGCGTTCCAAGATACGTGTTCACACAAAGTTGGTGGCGGACTTCGACACGCTCAATTCTGTCGATGCACAATACGTTGAGGCAACACTGCGACGTTCCATCCGACGCCTGCGGCAGGAGGGCCCCCTGGACCTGGTGCAATTTAGCTGGTGGGACTACAAGCAGGGTGATTTAATGGGTGCGTTTGAAGCGGTGGCAGCCCTGGCTAGTGGCAGTGATGAACGGGAGCAGCTGGTGAGACATGTGGGTCTGACCAACTTTGACACGGCAACAACACGCCGTATACTGGACACTGGTGCTCCCGTGTTGTCGACACAGGTACAACTCTCGCTGCTGGACCGCCGTGTCATCTCTTCTGGCCTCACGGCTCTATGCGCAGACCGCCAAGTGGCCGTATTTTGCTACGGCTCTCTGGCTGGAGGACTTATTTCTGATCGGTGGCTTGGCAAGCCAGAACCCGCAGAGTGGTCGGTGTGGTAGTAGATACTATGTAGGTGTCACCTTTAGTACCCTGGTGTTAGTTATGTCACAATATGTACCTCGCACCTATTTACCTTATATTCGGTCTCTCTAGTATGTAACAGCAGTTCAGTCTTCAGGACAACATTGGCGCAGTGAACAAGCAGGACTCAAGATGGCAAGTTCTCTCGGCAGAGCCCCAAGTTCCTTTCAAGTCTCTGAGGACACGAACCAAGCTGAGGAATTCGCCTTGTGGTTGGAAGACTTCGAAGCCTACCTTGACCTACAGAAGATCGACGCAGCCGCGCAGAAGAGGAAACTGCTGCTGAATATTGGCGGAATCGACCTCCGGCGGATCACCAAAGGCTTGGTTGTGACCACAGCTGAGGCAGAAGGGGATGTCCCACCTGACACGTACACTCCTCTGAAAACGGCCTTGGAGAAGTATTTCAAGCCTTCCATCAACCTGACAGCAGAACGGCACAGGTTTAGAGGTCGGAAGCAGAGGAATGGGGAGACTGTGACAGCCTATTTGTCAGCCCTTCGGGCTATGGCACAACAATGCAGCTTCGACAGCACCGATGTGGACACAATCGTGAATGGAGTCATCAGAGACCAGTTCATTGAAGGACTGCAGTCATCAGCTATAAGACGAGAACTCCTAGCGACCGCAGATCTGACGCTAACTGCGGCATCGGCAAAGGCAGTAGGAATGGAAGCATCTATACTGGACTCGCTACTGTACGAGCAGCCAGTAGCACCGACTCCGCAGCCGCTATCATCATCATCGACACCAATGGTAAACAGAGTCATGTCAGGAGAGGAGTCCAGGAAAGTGGCAGGAGCCTCGGCACAACCTCCTCGACATAAAAGGCGGAAAGGAGCGTGCAAGTATTGTGGGGGAGAACATACCCCGGGAAGATCCTTTTGCCCGGCAGGCCGGACTAGATGCCGGCACTGTGGGATAGTGGGCCACTTTCCTCAGGTCTGCCTCCGGAAAGACAGACTCAGCAATAAAATAGAGGAAGATACATTGGTGGTCGAAGACGAATTCGAAGAGGCTTATACCATGGAGCCTGCGGCAACGCTACGCGCAGCTCATGATCCCCGCTATTGGGTCGATGTGCGGGTTGATGGTAAGATAGTACACGGTCTGTTAGACACGGGTGCCACACGGACAATAATGCCCTGCACGGTCGTCCAGCCAGAGGAATTACCGGACAGACGACTCCGTGGATACGGTGGCCAGGAAGTCCACACACTTGGTACGGCGACCGCAACGTTTGATGCAAATGGCAGATCGATAGCTTGTCGGTGCTTTGTGGTCTCACCCGGGAAATGTCCCCTCTTCGGACAGGACGTCATTCAGCAGTTACAATTGGTCACTGTCACCGTTGATGAGCCAGACATCAACACAGTGACTATGCCGCCGGTAGACATTGCCGACATCAACACAGTGACTATGCGGCCGGTAGACATCGCCGTGGACCCAAACGCCGTGCCTGTGGCGTCTGCCTGCCGACGACATGCTTTCAGCATCCGCGAGGAGGTCAAGGCAGAACTAAGTCGAATGTTGGAGGCTGGAATTATCGAACCAGTGAAAGAGGCGACTCCATGGATCTCACCGATAGTTCCTAGCCGCAAATCTAACGGCAAGCTTCGCTTGTGTATAGATTACAGGAAGTTGAACCAAAACATCATTCGGGAGAAGAGAGCCATGCCTACCGCTGAGGAAATAACAGCCCAAATCCACGGTGCAACGATTTTCTCGGTCTTGGACGCAGAGTCTGGATTCCACCAAATCCCGCTGTCATCCAGCTCACAGCCGTACACAACTTTCACGACGGAGGAAGGCTTGTTCCGATTCAAGCGGTTACCCTTCGGCATCTCATGCGCCCCGGAAATCTTCCAAAGGGTCATGTCTGACCTGCTCGCTGGTATCCCAGTCTTCGTGTACGTAGACGATGTACTGGTCACCGGAGACAGCATCAAGCAACACGATGAACGACTGCAGCAAGTCCTAGAGCGACTACAAGCGGCACAGCTGAAATTGAACAACGACAAATGTCAGTGGAAGCAAAGTGAGGTTAGATACCTTGGCAGCATACTGAACGCCCAGGGCGTCAATCCTGATCCAGACAAAGTGAAGGCAATCCTAGACATGCCTCTGCCAGAATCTCAGTCGGATGTACGGCGATTCCTTGGTATGCTAACATACCTCGGAAAATTCATCCCTGGATTAGCGGACGCAACGGCACCGGTCAGGACATTGGCAAAACGCGAGCCATTCGTCGCAGACAACTCGCTCTGGATGGAGTTCAACACACTCAAAGAGGAGGCCGCGTCTAGATTGTTACGTCTGTCGTTCTTCGACGTCACGCCAACCAGGGAGACGGCCATTAGTGTGGATGCATCTCCATGTGGCCTGGGAGCTATACTGTGGCAGAAGGACAATCATGGCCGCTTTCAACCCGTGTCATGCGCTAGCAGAGCTCTCAAGGATCCCGAGACACGGTATTCGCAGCTCGAGAGAGAGATGCTGGCTGTGGTTTTCGGCTTGGTAAAATTCCGCCAATTCGTACTGGGGCGACAAGTGATCGTATTCACTGACCACAAGCCTCTGGTGGCAATCGTAAAGAAGGAATTCGATCAGGTGCCAGCCCGAGTGCAGCGATGGCTGCTGGCAATCCTCCCATACGACTTTCAGTTGACCTATACGCCAGGAACGTCAATGATTTGTACTGACGCGCTATCGAGAGCCCCCTCCCAAGCAGTTGAAGCCAGTCCGGCAGAGGCCAGGTCAATGAAGGAGTATGTTGGCTTAATCCTGGGGGAAGCTCCAATCTCTTGCGAAGATGTCCGGCTAGCCACAGACACTGATGGTCAGCTAAGTCGAGTCAGGAACAGAGTGTTACAAGGCAAGTGGAATACATGCGACGGCAGCGACGAGGTATACTTTCGAATAAGGGACTCGTTGTCAGTGGTTGATGACATCGTCATGCATAACAATCGCATCGTCATACCCGGTACCTTGTATGACCAAGTCCTCCGTATCGCACACGAAGGCCATCCAGGACTCGACACGTTTCTGGACACGTTGCGGCAAAGTGTATGGTGGCCGTCCATGAGCAAAGATGCCTCAGAATTCGCTAGGACATGCTCGACATGCTGGAAGAGGCAGCGGAATCCTCCACAACCCCTCCAACCGTCAGAAATCCTACCAGTCTGGTATCGGGTGGCGGTGGACCTCGTGGAGATCGAGGATCATCACTTCTTGTCGGTCATCGACTACGGATCCCGATATCCCGAGTTGCTCTTGCTATCCAGCACCACGTCGAGAGTCATAATACAAGCATTGTCGGAAGTATTCGCAAGACATGGTCTACCGGTGGAGCTAGTTAGCGACAATGGGCCACAGCTGGTGTCGGACGAAACAGAAACTTTTCTCCGGAAAGCAGGAGTCAAGCATATCAAGTCGAGCCCGCGGTATCCATGCTCCAACGGAATGGTGGAGAGATTCCATGGCGTCGTGCGCAGGCGCTTGAGTGGGATGCCTTCATCACTACCTCTGAGACAGCGACTCCAGCAAGCGCTATTCGGCATTCGTACATCCGTGAATCGGATGATTGGGACATCACCAGGAGAAGCATTCTTTGGACGGGCCCTTCGAGGACGATTGCCGAATCTAGCTAACGGTCAAATCATCAACCGGGAGAAGCAAATTGACCAAAAAATGCGAATGTCCCATCAACACGATCAGAAGAGAGGCGTGCGGGAGCTCCCTGCTCTCGAGCCAGGCAGTAAAGTGGTACTGCAAGACGGATATAGTCAACCGGCCAAGGAATGGTGTGTCGTACGACAGGAAGGCCGTCAAGTGGTGGTGGAAGACGGTGTGCGCACGGCCATAAGAAACCGCCGGCAAGTCAGGGAGACTATCCCACCATCAGCAACTGAGGCGACCACCGAGCGGAGCCGTAGCCCTGGGTCTGACAAAGATGCTGCAGGCACAACGGAAGAAGAAGCCCGAGCCGACAACAACCAGCCACAGCTGCCTCGACGTTCTAGCAGAGTGAGCATGCCTGTGGAGCGGCTGGGATACGATTGAAACAATTTTACTATAATACCATGGCATCCTTAGTAGCCGGAGTAGTGACAATAGCAGCATTCATTCTATCAAAGTTATGAGCAAGAATAGACAGCAGTAATATCCTCTCGTTGCTAGAGTGTTTGGGTTGATCATTCTTTTCAACTTCTTGTTGCTAAAGTGTTGGGTTAATCATTCGATTCAGCAAGATATATGATCATTCGAAATTGATTTACTCGGTTGTTTTATTAATATATTGCGTTGCCCATTTCATTCGGTTGCTAGCTTTTTACTAAAGCATTGGAGTAATGTGGTAGTAGATACTATGTAGGTGTCACCTTTAGTACCCTGGTGTTAGTTATGTCACAATATGTACCTCGCACCTATTTACCTTATATTCGGTCTCTCTAGTATGTAACAGCAGTTCAGTCTTCAGGACAACAGTCGGCACCAATGGATGCAGAGACACGCTCTCTGACCAAGTATCTGCTGGTGGCACGCGAGTTTGGCACATGGCAGCTGGTGCAGAGTCTGCTGGCGGTCTTGCGCTCCATCGCCGACCGCTGTGTGGCTTGGGCTGACGATGGCAGCAGCAGCAGCGCCAGTATAGCGCAGGTTGCCGTGGCATGGGTGTTGCAGCAGCCCGGTGTGACCTCGTGCGTTATTGGTCTACCGCGGGGTGCCGGCATCCCCGGCTCACAAGGAGCACATCGCTCAGAGGAGGTTCTGGCTAGCGCTCGGATTAAGCTCGGTGCAGCAGATCTTGAAGCCATTAATGAGGTGCTGTCACAATCGAGCGGGCCATCGGGTGAATTCTACGCTATGGAGCGAGAACGGGATGGCAGGCACGGTAAGATTATGCGCTACAATCTCTCGCGTATAGGATGTGTTGAGCATGCCGGGGAGCTTGTTGAAGAATGGCAGGCGCTCAGTAAAGCACTCCAAGACAGCAAGGGGGAGACGGCTGCTGTCGAAAACCCTAGCAAGCTCTGCCGGCAGCTGCGCTGGGAAGCGTGCTACTGTCTCAAAGCATTGTCCGAACCTCATGCTCAGGTGGCGCCAGACAACGTAGCATCCTTGAAGAAGCAAACGGCGGTGCGCAACTTACAAGAACTGCTGAAGTGGGTGGAGACGGCAGACGTGGATAAACAAAGCGGAGATTTCTGAATCCACTCAATGTACATGTGCTAGCCTCTACTGTACCAACAATAGGGACGCTAGCTGCTCATGGTCTGGACATGTGTTGACTTCAGCTGTTACTATGAGTACTAGTAGTAGTCGCAAAGAAGTGCGCAGCACATCTGTATACGACCGTGACCGAGTCGAGTTGAGCGACCGAGTCGTCACAGTTCATTTAGTATACAGAGTACATATGTGTGTGATTGTATTGCCTGAACATTGTAGCTCTTCTGTCTTATTCCACAAATGAAGCTTCTGGCTCTCATATGGACTGAATAGATAAATTGAGTTTTACGTGATGACCGATCTGTAAAAGATCCTCGTACTGAGTCGGTCAAAAACACCTTTCCAAATGCGTGAGATGCCATCATGCCGTAATTGAGAATCAGATGGCATCATGCAGCTCCTAGAGGTGAGGGACTGTGTAAGCAGACATATGCACTCAAGTATCCATCCGAAATTTAATTTCCTCATTTCGTTCCAAGGAGTTTTTGGACTAAACCAAGTACATGTACCATAGGCTAACGGCAATTTGTCCAGCCTTTCAAATGTGTTTCATGTTCTGTGGACGAATGTTTTGGTTGGATGAATTGCCTTTCTTTGGAGCTGGACAATGCGGTTTACCGACTAAATTTCTGCTTCAACAGAACATACAGATCCACCAACAAGGCTGAGGCCAAAGGCTGAAATCATGGCCCAGTTTCTGCATCCTCCATGCCACCCTTGTGCCAGGTGACATGACGAGTGCCTGGTCACAATGCCTGGCAGGCTACAACCATGTTCGATTGGGAATAAGGGCCGGAATCGCAGCCTTCTCGGACCACAACCAGTCGACACAGCGTCCGGTATGGGCCAATCTTGTTCATCCGTGTTTTTATAAAAACGAAATGGCAGTTTTAGTGACATTTTGCATATAAATCCCCATCTAATGTTAGTAGGGCGCAGTCATTTAGGGTGCGTTTGGTTGGTACGATCTAGAACAGGGTCGAACAGCTGGTGCACATGGAGCAGCCTCATGTCAACCAAACGGGACTCCAGAAACAGAGCACATTTTTGTGAAAAATGTGCCAAACTTGGTGCATTCTTCAAAAATGCGCATGGGTCACCATGGTCACTTTGTACGGTACAACGAATCTAACCCAAAAGCGTATGCACGTGATCATTTGGGACCAAAATCGATGTTCCCGCCAGGTTTCACTGTGAAAAAGTGAAACTGCTCGGTCTGCTCCGGCCTCGAGGCCGGAGCAAGCAGAACATGTTCTGGCCGACCCAGAACAGGTGCAGTCCCAACCAAACGCACTGTTCTGGTGAATCCTGTTCTACATGTAGTTCGTACCAACCAAACGCGCCCCAAGTGTCGGTGGAAGTGGCGAGTTTGATTGGGAATAAAGGAGGAAGGGAGCGTCTCAGCTTCCTCGTACCAAGACCATTCGACTCAGCACCCTGGAGACTACGAGTATTGACATTTCGATTCTAGACCATACTTCCCCCCTTTCAAGAGCTCACCCAAAAGTGTTACGATAACATGCACATATACAATGCCAATAGGCGTGCATGCAAGTAACTGTTACCGGTCGAGCCCTTTCGCTACCACCTTCATCGCGTCAGCTTCCCTAGGCTGCCTGAAGGTTGGCAGTTTTCTACATAGAACTTGCATGATAGCACCAGTTCTACCCAACAAATCATCCTTCCTTTACGTGCAGTATTCATCCATCCTCTTGAAGAGTCCTCTGCCACAGACGCATTCTGATGGAACAAAACAGCTGTCTGAAGGGCGCGGCAATAAACAATACTAAAAATTGGTCACTCCTTGTCTGTACTATAGTTATTGGAGTTGCACAAGTGGAGCTGGTGGCCCATGAAGGTAACATAGTGCAGAGTGGTGGAAGTGCCGAGTGATTTCCGACCGTTTGTTTTGGATAAAGGCCTACAGGAGAAAGATGGCAAATGCTGGTCGATGGAAGATGCCGCGCACACACATGGCGTACCACACACCAAATGCACACACTCTTTTTTTCCCACTGCAAGTAAAATCTACTGGCAAGAAAAGCTTCACGAACAATTTCTTGAGATGGACACAAGATGGGTTGCTGAACATCAAATAGAACAGGTATCAGATACGACTGAGAGTGAAACAAAATGACACCCAGTATAAAATATTAACTGTTGGTCTCTCAAAGCCCATCAGGCTTTCTCACACTTGCACACACAAAAACTAACACTGGTAACTTAAAAACAACAACAGCAGACAGACACAGAGCTAGCAAGCAAGAAGGATCAGCATGGTACGAAAACAAAAACAAAATCCCAGCCAGATGGAACTATGGCAAAGCGTCTTCGACACAGCAGTGAGAACCAACGACACAGATGAAAAAAGCCAGCAGAGCATACCGGGGAAGCGACGAGGAACAGCGACCCAAGCAATGACATTCAGCCTAGCCACAAAGACGAGCAACAGGAGAACAAAAACGAAGACAAACGCCATCTACAACAACTACGACATAAAACAGCTGAGAGGATAGCATGCGGAGATGTGACACCCAGTCACAGAAAATCGTCCAGCAGGGCTAGACCTCACCGTCGTCACCACCAGTGTCAGCTCCCAATGCCATGCAATGTAGTTAACGTAAATACCAGGCACAGTCCTACATGTCATGCCAGAGACATCGCGAGCAGTTAGAAACCCTGTAGGTCACCACAGAGAGTCTCATTCTTTGCTTGCGCTGCAGACGGACAACACACACACACACACACACACACACACACACACACACACACACACACACACACACACACACACACACACACACACACACACACACACACAGACGGACACACGCACACACACAAAGATGAAACAATGAAAACCAATATGAGTCAGACAGCCCAGATGCGATGCACAGTCCCAGGCCCAAAAGTTATGAGAGAGAGAGAGAGAGAGAGAGAGAGAGAGAGAGAGAGAGAGAGAGAGAGAGAGAGAGAGAGAGAGAGAGAGAGAGAGAGAGACACACACACACACAGAGACACAGAGAGACAGACAGAGATAGGAAGTGCAGCATTGAGTAAGAGCAATATGTAACATAGAAAGCAGAATGAGGTTTGAGCTGCAGCGAAAGTTTGACGAAAAAACCAATCTTCGGGCAACCATTCTAACAATAGGGCACAGGGAAATCAGCTGCAGTATGCAAGGATCCTACAATTTTTTGTAGTGTCATTGTTTAAAGTGTAGCCCAAGATAGCTTTCTGATCGAAACTTGAGTTACATCTGATACCTAGTTCTGCCTTTGCTGGAAGCGCTGTGTAGGAAGAGGAATATACTGAGATAAGTAGTATGGACACACTCATGTTCACCCCCCCCCCCCCCCCCCACACACACATGTCTACACTCCCCCGCCCATCCACACACATACTGTGCATGCACACACACGCACACCCACATGCACACATACTTGTGCACAGCATCGGTATTACACTTGTGAGAAATGAAGGAGCTTTCGGGGCGGCGCGGAACAGCCTTACGGTATCAACACGGTCAGCTAAGGCCAGTGACACGACACTATTATAAAATATAAGGACATGGCCATCCTGGGGCAAACTGTTTGCTGAAGTATGTTCAAATTACACTATACTGGCAGTAGTGGCTTCGGCTTCACAGGGGCAACACACTACATGTGCCTAGTAGTGACAAGAACGGCTTCAGCTGCACCGGGGCAACGCACTATCTATAGCATGCAGCAAACAACGGTAATTCAAAGAAGGAAGCCGCTAACTCTTGCACACCCAGCAAGACAAACTTCCAGTTCTGCACCAGCCAGCGGCGGGAGACAGCAATGCTCACGGAGTCACAGCACACCAGGCAATGCAGTAGGAGAGAAGTAGATTTAAAAACTTACTCGCAGTGGCGATGGTGAACCTCTTTCCCACCTGACAATTCGTTAGCACACACTGGTCATTGATATAGGCGTTGGGACAAACGATGGTGTTGTGCAAATTGCAGCTGGTTAAGCAATAGAAAAACAAGCAAACAAAGTAGAATCACAACAATTGCACAGAGCTTCCAATCCGGCTCAGGAGAGCAATACCACGAGGGATCATCTGCAGGACAGTCAGATCCCCAACAGAATCCTTGTTTTTTTGCACAAATTCACAGTTCCTCGGGCAACTTGTGGAAAACAACTGACACACAGTTGCATAGCCCTTCAATCATACATAAAAAAAACTTGTTTTGATGAATTCATGCCTTTCTCAAATGCATGGCCCTGCCCATTGCGAGTGGAAAGCCAACAGCTTTGTTCTGATAGTCCACATACTTCACAATCAGCAAAAGAGAGAAGTGGGGAACATTGTGTTGCAACTCTGAGCTCATGCATTAGGAAGCATTGGACACCAGTGATATGCACATGAGATGCCCAGCACAGGATACAGGTCTCCCTTTAGTAATAGCAAGAGTACAGGGATGAATTTATCCTGTATCGCATCGCAATTTGCGATGCAAAATCGATCTACTGCTACTCAAAAGTCACCGTGACTCGCAGAAAACTGCGATACATACAGACTATCCATGCCTAGCCTGCGCTGTCAAGTAGCATGCATACAGTGCAGTGTATGTGGTGCAGGCACTCTCAATCTGCGTGCACATGTATGATTCAGTCGTTTTTATTTGCAAATGGGCTTTCAGGCATCACTCTCAAGAAGGACAATGTGGTAAACACCCAACCTTCAAGGAAAAATGCTAATCAAAATCAAAGACTGCTACACAATTGTGATTTTGTATAGCAGAAACTGCTATGCAAAAATATGACAATAAATTCATCCATGGAGTAGATAAACAAGAGTGTGCAACTCCGGTCCGTCTCCGGATCTCTTCTGCACAATCTCCAGATACCCCCGCGGAATTTTTTGTTGACGTCAACTTTTTTCAGAAGAACGCGCATTTTGCCCCAGAACAGTGTGAGAGCACGTGCTGGGCACCGACTTTGTAATGTAAAGCCCGGCCAAGTGCACGAGGCAAAACTTTCCAAAAGACTCGCAGCGCGTGCATCGTCGAAAAGATTACGTCAACAAGAAATTCCGCCGCGGCCCAACCCATCCCGGAGTTGCACACTCTTGTTTATCTACTCTTGGTAATAGGGAGTTGCCAAACGAAGGCTTAAATAACTATCAGACTCTATTGCTGGACATACCAACACAAGAAAACAGAAGTAGACAAAGTGCTACACTATGACAGTATGGCTCAGCTGCAGCAACTCACTTATCCTCGATTGTGACGTGGTCCATGATGATGGAGTTTGTGATTCTGACTTTGTCACCGATCTTACAGTGCTGGCCAATCGTGGACTTCTTGATGGAGCAGCTTTCACCGATATTGCAATGTTCAGCAATTATGGACTCTGAACAGGCCTGCAAAGAAACAGACAGCAAGCAAAAAGCTGAGGAACTGACAAGCAAACTTTTCAGACAACAACAACAACAACAACCTTAAAAGTAGACATTAATCCCCGTCCACCCAACTTTTTCGTGCTTTTTCTCCTGTTGCACACTTTATCTCTTATTGGCCACAGGCTATCGTGAGAATAAAGATTTGAAACAACAACAACAACAACAACAACAACAACAACAACAACAACAACAACAACAACAACAACAACAACAACAACAACAACAACAACACTATCTCTTATTGGCCACTGGCTATCGTGAGAATAAAGATTTGAACCAACAACATCAACAACAACAACAACAACAACAACAACAACAGCAGCAGCAGCAGCAGCAGCAGCAGCAGCAGCAGCAGCAACAACAAAAACTGTGAGAATAAAGATCTAGAAGCTTCCCTTTCTTACACCATCGACAAATTTATCAAAGACCGAAGAGTATGAAACCCAGCAAAACCCAGCTGAAAATAGGACCAATCTAGCCAGCAGACGGCTAAATGAAGTAAACACAGGTCAGGCATGTGGATATTCCTAAGGTCTGGGTTCCACTGTGGCTCAACGGATACCCCGCCTGCACCTGCTGAAGATAGAGCTAGCAGCGAGCAACATGATTCCTCTGACACTCAGCGTTAGCAGCAGGAGCAGTTGATTTGTACGGTGATTTGTACAGTAACCATGGTTTTACGCCGGATTGCCCGCCAGCACGTGAAAATCAACATCTTTGACATGGTTTATAGAAAAGAAAAGGACCAAGGAACTACAAGTTACGCTATAATTAGGGATCTCAGCGTGTGCAGTGCGCAGGGTGTTTGCGCATACATTGCGTCATCGAGTTTTGAGTGCAGCTCGCGGACACAGCAGAAAATGGCGACGGTCGATTTTCGACACTAGCGGACGCGGTGGACACTAGCGGAATCGTCATCTTCATCGTCGTTCGAACATACTTTGTAATTCCCGCCGAAGGACAGCGTGGCCAAGGCGATATCGCCCCGGTCGATTTTCCTATAATTTGCCATGCGGCAAGAACCCACTTCAGAGAGGATTCAGTCAAAAATTCAGACGTTTTCTCCGGTTAGATTGTCCTAACTTCGATTTTCAGTGCATCAGCTATCGCGAACATCGCCGCCATTATCACTCAGAGAGAAGACATCGCGCTCAGTAGAAGAGGTGTTCACGCTGCGTCCAAGAGTGAAAGATTGTGCTCTTTGACCCTCCATAGTTCCTCTGAGAGAGTGTCTGGGAGATAGGTAGCTTGGAGATGGCCGTAGAACGTGCTTTCCTGGACGCAATATTCAGCCATTTCTACTGTCGTCTTCAACTTGATTTATTTCGAAAAAATGTTCTTTTCCACGATTTCTGCACTGGACGCGTTTGGGATCGAAAATCTCACCTGCGCAGACTGGCTGCGCAGTTCACGCGCTGAGATCCCTACTATAATGTCCACCAGCACCACCAGTTCCTTGACAATCAGCTCATGCGATAACATTGCACGACACTGACCAATGGTACTGACGTTCTACAAAAAAACTGCCAATCAGCTCTAGCACGTCTTGGATGTGCACTCCACCAGCCTTCCAACTTGGAAGGTTCTAAGTTATAGGAATAGCATAGGAGGGGAAGGTGCGCGCAACCAATACAAGCACAAGCTGAAAGTCTTAGTTGTGAAAGACATTGGCGGATGTACATGCATGTCGAAGACGATACTGGCAAGACCATTGGACAATACCGTCAAACCACGATTCAAGGACGCAAAGCAACATTCCACACAACTTGTGTGGCTCTAAAGATGCAAAGACCAATTGAAGGGGAAGCTATGCGAACAAGAATTGTGCAAAACCGATCGCCTCAGTAAAACAGCACTTTACTTCGACTATGACAATTTAGATGGACGATAAGCAGCAGTAACAAGCAGCAGTTTCACACGACGACCATTTTGCCGTGTAGATAAGTCTTGCTCATCCAAGACGTGCTAGAGCTGATTGGTAGTTAGTTGTAGAACGTCAGTACCATTGATCAGTGGCGTGCAATGTTGTCGCATGAGCTGATTGTCAAGTAACTGGTGGTGTTGGTGGACATTAATATAGCACAACTCGTAGTTCCTTGGTCCTTTTCTTTTCTATCAATTTTGTCCTTGGTTCTCCATCCGAGTCCATTCTTCCGTCATGATCTTTACTTTTCAAGTTTGTTTGGAGAGCGGCAATGCAGTGGAGAAGTTTAGTTTCTTTGTGGTGTAGTCAGGAAATTGCTTCAGCAGAGTTGTGTGAAGCTGCTCGCAATGGCTTGTTGGCCTACAGTGCTGTTGGTCAGCCTCCTAGCCAAGACCGTTCTTATTTTCACGTATTACAGTCTATGCACAGTTGAGTTACCGTGTATCACTTATCGGTATGCTGAGTTTAGTGAAATTCTAGGCTGGTCGTTCTTCTCCGCTCCATTCTCCGGCGCCCGACAGTACTGTACAAATAAAAAGAAGCTTCTAGCCGTTATTCGGTCATTTTAAACTCCAACACTGTGTGCCGAAAGGAAAGGAAAAAAAGGAAACCAAAGAAAAGAAAGGTCACTATACATGCTCTCCCTCTCCAAGGAAATAAAATGCCCCGCCTCCAGCTCGGCAGCCATGCCAAGTACAGGAAACCGGAGCGAGCCACGAGCGGGGTGAGCAAATATGATCAAGCCGTGACATGCGAAAGCTCGCGGTGAGCTGCGATCTCGCTGCATCAGCACGAGCCGGGGTCACTAAGGTAATGATGAGACCTGGAATTGCCTCCCAGCCTCTATTCTCAGTGCTCACCCCTCCCAGAAGTCAATGCAGACCTTCAAGAAGAAGGTCTATGACCACCTGAGGCAGTCTGACGGGGACAGGGCAACCGACCGCCCCTAGCCTCTTCCGGGATTATGCCTCTGTGTCTCCCACCCCAAGCCAAATTATTGCCAATCTTGAGTAGCCAAATTCCACTGCTACCCCTATTGCACCCTTCATTTGACACTCTCCTTTCACTCCGATTATTTGTTCGATTATTTGCTATTTTTTCTGCTGTATTCCAAATTAAATCCTCTCCTTCGTTCTAAATCTTCCATTTTCTCCCGTGCTTCTTTCCCCTCATGCTTTCCTCCCAAATTCGGTGCGCCTGCCATTCGAAGATGCCGAACCCTCTGGTCGGTAGAGCATGGCAGCCCCCCCCCCAGCACCATCTCACCCCATGCTAGTCCCATCTCACCCCATGCTAGTCCCATTTGCCTGCCGGAGAGTTGTGTATCTTGTAAAAAAAGAAAGAGGTCTCATCTCACGTGTGACGTACAGGAAAACGGCCCTGAGCTATGATCAAAGAGAATGCAATCCTGAGTTCCTATGAGTTCTGCTTCTCGCAGCCCACGGCCTGACAAGCCACACAGGATGCATGCACCTATTGCACTTACAATACAAACTACCTACAATAGTAGTTGCACTGTAAGCTACAAGAATAAGTGACAAGGTCCCTACTCCTCAGCAGCCTACCTGAGACTTGTCTTTCATCACAACAGGTGGGTGAATATTCTGTACGGCATCCATCCCCAGGGCACCTTTCATCTGAGATAGCTGAGAGCGACAAAACGAGAGGAAAGAACAATGCATACAATGGACTTACTTCAAGTAAAACAATGAGGAACGGTGACATACGGAAACTTGGTCTGTCTCTGTCTGTCGCTGTCTCTCCCTATCTGTGTGTGTGTGTGCGCGCGCGCGCGCGCGCGTATCTCACTGTCTGTCTCTGCCTTTCCCTATCTCCGTGTGTGTGTGTATATGTGTGTGTGTGTGTGTGTGTGTGTGTGTGTGTGTGTGTGTGTGTGTGTGTGTGTGTGTGTGTGTGTGTGTGTGTGTGTGTATGTGTCTATAAGAGGAAGTGACAGGACCATTGTACAGAGATACAGAACTGGTAATGAGTAAATTGAGGTTTTGACCACAATGATCTTCTTCAGAAACAGTTCAGAATACGCGACTGTATCAAACCTCAGCATGCTTCACCGACAGAAATATCACGCTACGTCAGAACAGCAAGAATGAGGAAACTTGTTGTAGCCAATCACACAACATACATGTACACGACTGCCTGCAATCAGCAGGGAGAGGGGTGCACACCTTTGGCTGGGCACTCCGGCATACACGTACAGGCACGGTACAGGGTATGTAAAGCATGTTTGTAGCACAGAAGGTTACATACCGTTCGCGCTACTTCCGAGTAGAGAGGCAGTGTGTTACTTCGAACACAATGCCCCTGGCTCAGGACATGGGCGTAGCACGTGTAGTGGCCTTCAGGTCCTTCCTCACCAGGCATGGAGCCTGGTAGTGCACGGGCTAAGTCGGCCCACGAGCTCTTGGGCACAAAGCTGTGAATATCTGCAAAGACAGATCAGACCAAGGCAGAAAAATGAGTGGAACTGAAGCAATGCTATTGCTAGAGTAGAAAGGGGAGTAAAGTTGTGATATGCACCAGGCAGGGCGTGAACTGAGTAGCAATAGCTGACAGTACTGGTAGCTGGAAGAAAGCAGCGCTCGATGAAATACGGTATCTGGCATTGTAATGACAGGGCAGGATTCTGCTGGTTGCTCTGTAGCTGGTAGAACTACAGTGCTGCTCCATGAAATCTGATTGAGTGAGTCAGCGTCACACCGGCGGCAACTGTGCATCCCAGAATTGCAACCACCGGGCGGTGCACTGGTGCAGGGGGTTAACTTATTCACGAGCCTGGATTGCATTGCTTGAGAAGTACTGCACAAAAGAAAAAGCCCAATCGGGCAGCCTGCAGCACGAGCCAGCGTTGCAAGCATAACATGATACTTACCCGTGGCGCGCGCTGCAGCAGCAACGTCACCCCGTGCTTCTGCCCGGCTGCTGGTTGCGGATGTTGGCGTGTTTGCTCCAGAGGATGCCAATGGGGTGCGTGCAGCTGGCTTCTGAAACTGCTTCTTGACGAGCAGCGGTAGCAGGTCACCCTGAATGGACTTCAAAGATCTACGATACAGGATGTGACAAGCAAAGAAGTCGAATAAATACATATTTATTGCGTAGAATGTGGCACCCAAACTGTGCCAAGTAACTTGTTACACAGGGTATCGCACACCGGTAAGAGAAAAACTTGAGCAAACGATTGCCAACACGTGAAGCATGCATTTGCGAGTGCCTTGAGCTCTCCCAGACAGATCCAGTGCTGGAACAATGCAACTAAGCAGTGCTGCCAGCTCAACACCCTCGCCATGGTCCTGAGAAGAGATGGAGGGATGTGATTCTCTCAGACATGGACGAATGCAGCATTGAGCAGGGGCACTGGATGGACGTCGCTAAGTGCCGTGCAGAGTGGCACACAACCTATCGCATGCGGCCCCGAACAGTTCACCATTGCCGCCGTGGCAAGGCGTGCTGCTCCTCCGGAGGGTTGAAACACCACATTAAGTTCGGTAAACAGCTCTAGTTCGCTATCGTCAATTGACGGGCAGGATCAAGGTCAAGATCAAGGTACGTGTGTGTCCACTGCCCATGCCCTTTTGCACTTACGTGTTTGCACAGACATAGTCGACGATCCACTTCTTGAAGAAATACAAGTGTCCGTCGTAGAGAGTGTTCTCCAGCCGAATGTGCGGATGCCTGCAACACACAGAACAGCACAATACAAACCACGCGTTTAAACAGCAGACATGGCACCGGGGACAGAAACAAATCCACTTCTGAAAAAAAAACTCCACAGTGTTAATCTCTTTGCCAGGATATCTCTGTCACAAGATGATCATCACCAAGAGAGAAGACCTGCAGCAGCTGAGCACTTACTGGCGCAAGAGGTTCATCCCGATGCTCAGATGTTCACCCTCCACGTCCACTTTATCCACAAAGACAGCAAGAAGGTCATCAGCTGGGTCCAGACCGATGATGAGCTCCTGGCCTGGGCAGAAAAACAAAATTCGGGCAAGGGCAAAAGTAAGAAGCATGAGCGCCACCAGATAGATAGAACATTAGATAAAACCTGTACATAACAGAATAAAACTGATGTGAAAGTTTACGGTAACAGTATCCTAGAGACATGCAACAAATTAAGAGACTTTACTCTAATCTTCCAGATGTGTGTAAAAAAAAGGGGAAATGAACCACTTTACACAGTGGAACCACTCTCTCGCTCTCTTACGGACACCAGAGAGACGTGACAGCCCACAACTCCCTCATGGACAACAAATGGACACCATAGGGACTGGACGTATCCGTCCGTGTCCTGATTACAAACTAGCTGATCACTTGATGGGAACAGCCATGACTAAACACTAATACTATGTAGCGGAGATGCTGCCGACACCACTTTTGTTGTGCTTCGATACACACTGTACCACGTTTAGGGAACTTCACGATAAAACCATGATTTTCTAGGGCACGCACAGGTGCAGTGTGACACAACATTTTTGCACCACGGTTAGAGCTTCATGATGAAATCATTCAAATGACATCATCAACCAAATCACGCCGCCACAGTTCCATTACAAAAAGACGGAAAGGCTTATTTACTTTGGCGGTGGCTATTTTTCTGACGCGCACATATGAAGGATAGAACCGTGGCATTGAAACAAGAACATGAATGACACAGAGAAGAGAATCACCAGGAAGCAAAGCTCAGAACCAGGAAAGGACAGACATTAGCTTTACGGCAGGTAGATTGACTCTAACAACATACTGTTCGTTCCCGTGACCTTGGCCTTGTCCATGTTAGCGAACGCAAGAGAAGTGGGAGCGAGCAGAGCTGTGGCCGATGAGTCATGTCGCCGATGCTTGTCCGCAAATCTCTGCAGACTAAGATCACTGATGAAGTCGCAGCTGACCACAAGAACATCGGTCTGCACAGAGAGATCACATACAGTGAAACAATTCAAAGACATGACAAGCCACCACGCTATGACATGCCCCTGTGGCGGGTACCCAACGCAACGTCACAACGAGGTTCGGGACCTGCTGGCTAGTGCCATGTCCGAGGTGGCGTATGATGTCGAGTTGGAGCCTGTTCTGCTGCCTCTCGATGGTGAGACGGTCTCAGGTATTAGAGCTGATGCCGCTCGTGCAGACATACGGGCTCGCGGTTTCTGGACGCGACAGCAAAACGCCTTCTTTGATGTTCGGGTTACCCACCCAAGGCCGTCTTTGCTGTCGCGTTCGGGAGTAGCGAGCCAGTTGTCTGACAACGAGAGGCAGAAGAAGCGCCAGTACTCGAGCCGGATCAACAACGTCGACCGCGGTTCGTTCACGCCGTTGGTTTTCGCCACCAATGGGCAGTGTGCGCGTGTTTGCGGATGCGGGTTTACTCTTCGTTTTGGTATTCGATAGTTGACTTGATTCTTTTATTTTATTTTCTTATTGGATTTTCCGATTTATTTGATTTGATTTTCCTATCTACGATATACTTGATTGGATTTGTCACCATTGCCTTCTTTGCTTCCGTTTTTTGAATTCTTCATTCCGGCACCCAGTTTGTTATCAAATAAAGTCAACGTTCTCAGTAGTAGTAGTAGTAGTAGTAGTAGTAGCAGTGGCAGCGGCAGCGGCAGCAGCAGCAGCAGCAGCAGCAGCAGCAGCAGCAGCAGCAGCAGCAGCAGCAGCAGCAGCAGCAGCAGCAGCAGCAGCAGCAGCAGTAGCAGTAGCAGTAGCAGTAGCAGTAGCAGTAGCAGTAGCAGTAGCAGTAGCAGTAGCAGTAGCAGTAGCAGTAGCAGTAGCAGTAGCAGTAGTAGTAGTAGTAGTAGTAGTAGTAGTAGTAGTAGTAAGACAAGAGAAGAAAGCAGGAATGCCAAACTGCGACAAAACAATTCCCAACGAGCGGATTTTCTAAGAAGAGATAGGGAAACAAGACACACCAAGACAGCAGCTGCATGCAGCCGGCCAGCCAAGACAGCCGGCCAGAAGGTAAAGACACACACCGCTGGGCGAGACCTTTGCATAGCTACTGCTTGGCTGACAGGATTATCCCTTCTGGCGGCGAAAGCCCGATGCAAGGCTGGCCTCGCATATCAAATGCTGCACACATGCTGCTTACATGTAGTATACTTACACTGTAGTAACTCTACTATTACAAGTGCTACATTACACATAGTAAGAGGCTGGATGCCTACTGTACGTCTACAAAATTTCGGCTCGCTCAAATTTCGGCCTCCCAGGGCTAAAGCCCATGTCGGCCGCATCAAATTTTCGGCCTGTGCTGCTTCCGCCTGTATACACCACCACACTGAACCTTGCAAAACAAAATTTCGGCTGCAACAAATTTTAGGCCGAACATGACCAGGCCAAAAATAGCCGAAAAGAAATATGCGCCGAATATTCATTAACCCTTTATGTACGGTGTGTACGCGAATCGATCACATATGATCGATTCATGATCGATCCGTAAAACCTTCGTAACTCCATCATGTCTTGTCCGAATTCAACAATCGAAGGGTCTATTCAGTAGCGGAAACTCTGAGCTTTCCAATGCAACAATCGCCGAAGAGCTACGATGTACGAATCCAGAGATATCGCGCGCCGTATTCTTGTATCGGCAAATTCAAATTTTTTATCGATCTCTTCGCCATTTTAGGGGGAAATCCCTTTTCGTGTGCTCTTTGACCAACTCAGCACATGATAATGACGTAGTTGGCTGAAGTTTGAATCGCCTCGAAAAGATTTGAGCGTTCTGCGATAGAGGAGAGTGGAATGGCGTTGATGGGGAAATTTGCTCGCATATTGGGCTTGGAGACGACTTTGATGTGTTCCTGTGCCTGATTTGTGGCAGCTAGTTGATGGATCCTGGTATCCTCGCGTTGCTCTCGCCAGGAGCTTTCCAAAGAGCCCAAGATTGTGGAAATGGAGCGAAGGAGGCCAAAGTTATAGCCTGTTGAAGGTGAAAATTGTGCTGAAAATTCAAATTCTGCTTCATTCTTTGCTGGAAATCAGTACATAAAGGGTTAACTTACAGTATCAAGAGTCCATAAACAAGAGTATGCAACTGTGATCTCTTTTCTATGGGCCAGATGCGCGGCGCGCTGCCTTCATTACATCATTCAGCTGCAGTCCGCGCACTGCGGAAAATCAAACACCGCACTTTCCCTCCAGTTTGAAGTGAACTTTCGTACGGAACTGGAGTTCACGCACCAGAATTCAGAGATTGTGTAGGTACTGGAACGAATCGAGCAAAAACGGATGGGCTCGTGCGAGAAATTGAGAGTTTGAATACATGCTTTCAGAGCGTGATGAAGGCAAGTTACGTAATGAAGGCAGCGCGCCGCGCACTGACCCATAACCACAGTTGCATACTCTTGTTTATGCACTCTTGACAGTATCTATAGGGATCTTCAGGGTCAGGATTTAATTAAATATAGGAGGTGAATGAGCATTTACCACAATGGTAGAAAAAATTAAAAAAATAAAATAAAATTTCACGGTTCGCGTGAGACTCGGCTGGAAGCCCAGTTTTCCGCATCCGTCGTGGGAACGCCACCACCCTCTAGGATCAAAGGCGCAGATGCAGTGCCTAAACGGTGGGACGTGAGTAGATCAGACCCACCACCAAGTGGTCAAAGACCGAATGGTAGTAAACAGCAAAAAAAAAAGAAACACCTGAAATATGGTGTGTGTGTGTGTGTGTGTGTGTGTGTGTGTGTGTGTGTGTGTGTGTGTGTGTGTGTGTGTGTGTGTGTGTGTGTGTTTGTCGATTGGCTACGTGTCCCCAAACGGGCGACTTGAAGGAGTCCTGAAGCCAGCACTCCTTCAAGTTTGGGGACACATAGCCAATCGTGGCAGTGGGTGAAGGAAGGTGTGTGTGCATCTGTGTGTGCTTGTGCGTGTGTGTGTGTGTGTGTGCGCACGTGCATGTATGTGTGTGTGTGTGTATGTGTATGTGTGTGCACGCGTTTGAGAGAGGGAGATAGAAGACAGAGTACGGTTAAAAAGGTGTTCTAAATCGAGGACTACGCCTTGCAAGAAGACAAAGACAATCCCGGACTGTTCAAGCAAGAACAATCCGGGAGGGACTTCCGGCAAGAAAATGCATAATCGGGCAGCTCCTGATAGACCGCACGGTTGGCCTAGAATGAGCTCTAGCGCTGGTTGGGGTGTGGTGCAATATAAAGGTGGATTGGTTGCAGCAAGAGTACATAACCCCCAAGAGTGCGCAACTCGACTATGGGTGCTGTCCCAACAGAATTTCAAGTTGACGTCATTTCTATGATGCAATGCGCACTGTACACGGATTATCAGACGAATCCGGAACCTGTGGTGGACCAAAGCCCATCTGATCCTGTACAAATTGTTGCAAAGAAAAACGTGTGAGACGTTGACACCCGTACACATGTTGTAAATCATTGGTGCAAGGAGCATCGCATCATAGATAATGACGTCAACTTGAAATTCTGTCGGGACAGCAGGGTATGTTGGAGTTGCACACTCTTGGGGGTTATGTACTCTTGGTTGCAGGTATGGTGTTACGACTATGGGCACGATGCTGAGCTGTCCGTGTAGAAATACATGTAAGCCTGACTCTCCCTGCACAAAACGAACCAATGCTACACCTCACCTTTATTCTCGGAGCAATGAGACGAAGAGCATCAGCTGTGCCTAGATCATCATCCTCATTGACCTCAGCAATCTCAAACTTCAGATTTAATCCCAGTTTAGAGACTGTGGCTGTGAAAAGAAGTTTCTGAGACGCGGGCACAATCAGAATGGCCTCTGTAAATAAGAAATTCATGCACATGCATATGCAGACACGCAAACAGACACGCACACATATACAGGCACACGTGCACACACACATACACGCACGCGCAGGCGCGCACACACACACCTTGACCTTTGACGCCCATCGCCGGAGGCGATGATAGCAATGCTACGGCAGAAGCCATAGCAACTTGTGCTGGGATTGCACCATTCAACAGCTTGCAAGGCTGAAGAATTGACCGTCACTATTCAGCCTGGTCTACACCATACAGCTATTTTGAAGTGACTTTTTTCTGGCCAGTGAATCCCTATTTTTGGTCTTTCCATTTTTTTCCCGCACACACATCACACCACACACTCCGGCATGCACTGGCTGTTGGTAACCACCCAGTAGAATGAAAGAAAAGTCAGGAAGAGTCTGAGAAAGAGAAGAAAGACGTGTGTGACCATAATCGTCGGAATCGAACCCAACACTTATCGATTGGAACTCGCTGCACATACCACTGCACCATATGGGACACACACTTCAGATTGAGGCTGCGTTTACACGACAACGCTGGGGGTGAAAACGCAACAAAATCCTTTCGGATGCATGGTTCATTTACACGGTACGAAGAGCAAAACGTAAAAGTTGTACACCAAACCGGAAGAAAACCAAAACGCTGGCCAAGCTGCAAGGTGGAAGAATTTGAAAACGGAAATGTTCTGCCGGATAAATTTGAATGTGTAAACAGTCGAAACGGTATGCTGGCCTCGTGTTCCGTCACGTTTATTCCGTTTTCGGCCGTTCACACGGATCCGGCAATCCAAAAAATTGTTTTTACTTTTGAAGTACAATTTTCGTCATGTGACGAGTGTTGTTTTGTGGCCTGTTTTGAGTGTGATTGGTGCTTCCACGACAACACTTGGCACATGACGAACTTTTGCGGATCCTTTGCTCCCGTGTAGACGCGCGAAAACGATACAAACGGAGACCACCTCGGATCAGCTTTGATCATGTAAACGCACGAAAACGAAAGAAGAAATGCGGGACTGAAAACGGAAAACTGGCCGTGCGTTGTCGTGTAAACGCAGCCTTAATCCCAGCTACACACACACGCACGCGCACACACACCTACACATTAGTGACCACACCATCAACAGTATCAAATACAAATATATTGGCTTTGACTCAATAAATACCACTGCACTTTTCCCTAAAAAAGGAGTGTACAGTTTATGGGTGAAACAGATACCTGGGTAGTGAAAGGGTTAAGGTTACAAACAGGTTATCGGGTACCCTCCAGTCTCTCCGGAGACGTGGGTTCGAATCCCACCGCTGCCACCGATTTTGTAGCTTCCCACCGCTGCCACCAATTTTGTAGCGGGCCGCAGTCTCTCGGAGGCAAGAATACATAAGGGTCTCAGTGAACACACTGTTATTTATTAAACACTGAACTGAACTGAAATGTAACTAACTGGCAATGAAAAGAATCGTGAGCAGCAGCTTTTATACACAGGTAGACTCCGTACGCTAATGTACGGGGATAAGCTAAAAATATACGCTATACGCTGTTAAAGTCACCAGCGTGCCAACGCTACATTAGCAGCGAAGAATAACAGTTACTATACAACAGCCTTCCACACTTCGGGCCAGAAGGACTTGCGAAGTCATGCCATTCGCAGCAAGTGCACTACATCGCGACAAGCGCAGCATGGGCACTTACTGCGCTACATGCAAAACAGTCAAAATCGTCATATGTAGCAGGATCAAACCAGCAACAACACATTTGAACTGTACGACTGTACAAGCCAGCTAATAATACCGTACTGTACCGTCGTACATGACTAACGGGTACTCGTTTGCTAACAGATCAGCAGCTAAACAGACGAGTACCCGGCGCACCCCAAGTTTATATCCAGGACGCTGATTATGGTGCAGAGGTGGTGCAGAGCCACTCCGTTTTATGTATGTGTATCAGCACTGCTTGTTGTACTGTTGTGCATTTTATCATACTACTACGCATTCGTTCCTCATGTTGTATTCATGTCAGCTGACGTCTGCTGCGCGTAGTCGCGTACACTGCTTTCGCGCGCTCTGGTGATTGAATGTTTTTTTAATCTCCGCTTCTGCTTCAAGAGAAGCAGAATATTCTTCGTACTGGAAGATGATTTCGATCAGAGTCAGAGTAAAACATTATAATACAGTCTTCCAAAACCAAGTCGTGTGCTATCCGGAGGCATGTTCGAGTAGAACAAGGAGTATTTTAAACAGTATTTACAAATATCAATAAAACTGTTAACGGTACCATTCGGCTGTTACTTTTCAAATACATAAAACTCTCCTCCTCCATGCGCTCTAAAGTCGACCATTGCTACCCTCGGTAGCCATTACTCACACCAATAATCTCATACAACGAAGGTGTCACGGGTAAATTATTTCCTTCTGATAGCTGTTTCGCCTATCAAAGGCTCTTCAGAGAAGGTGATACTGGATATTGTAATTGACATGGCAAAATTCCTGGAAATATCAAGAGTACATAACCCCCCAGAGTGCGCAACTGGGATGGGGTTGTGGGACGGCGTAATCCATGATGTACGTCATTTTTTGGGTCGGACTTGCCTCATTGCATCGACGCGGTGCACCACGTCCACACTTCCCCTACTCATGGTGCAACACGGATTTCGCCGTCCCAGATCTGATAAGTGAACTTGCGCACTCTGGGGGGTTATGTACTCTTGGTAATATTTATAAGGTATATTATGGGCGCAATACACTCGGCAAGGTGTAACACTGAGAACGTAAACAAATATTCTCCGAGCAGCACGCAGTGTCAGAAGGAAATGTTTTACCTGTGACTCCTTCGTTGTATGAGATTATTGGTGTGAGTAATGGCTACCAAGGGTAGCAATGGTCGGCTTTGGAGCGCATGGAGGAGGAGAGTTTTATGTATTTGAAAAGTATTTACAAAAGCCAATAAATACTGTTTATAAAATACCACTATTAAAGGCCAATAAATACTGTTCATATAATATTCCTTTTTAGGGAAAGCGCAGGTCAACATTATGTTTACGTATAATAAAATAGAACTGAAGGATTTGTAGCAATTGCACACATTTATTATGTACATACATGTAATTATTTGTACTGTTACTGCTAGTATGTTGCTCCATACCATGACCGGTACTGTTGTATTCTTTAGCTGGCCCGTTCAGTGTGCCAGTACAAGCTCACAAATACATTTCTACGAAAGCAACTAACCTTCGAAGCCACTTCTCTCCAAAAGCTTTGCTGGATAATACAACAGGGGATAGTGACCTAAAGGCAGCAGTGCTTTGGGGGTGCCTGAAGTGAGGCATCCCATTCGCAAGCCACGTCCAGCAGCCATAATTACAGCTTGGAACTCCATGGTTGGTGGCTTCTTGTCACGTAAATTGCACTGTCCTCTCGAAAAGAAACTACTTCGTTGCCTGACTTATCTCATTCCAATTAAAAATTATCAAACTCCTGAGTCCTGGTCAATAATGTTCTGCCTTTCAATGTTTCATTCCAGTGAAGTGAAGGTTTTGCAGTTACAATACTTCACTACTCGTTCAAGCTCGCATCACCAAGGTAGGTAGGGACTGTTCAACAACACTAGAAGACGGTTGAAACAAATGAGAAAGCCTGGGAGGGAGACAAAAACGGACAACAGGTCTGTGCCGTGAGAAATGGAAGACTGAGCGGTGCTGACCAAATAGCGATGTAATCATAGACATAGGCTAGCTAATGTCTGAAGGAATCGTGCGTCACATGGCAGGAGCTCCGGAGCCGGAGATGCTCTCTGTCTCGGAGACCACGGAACGGACGACGCGCGCCGACGATCTACTCATGAGTCATACATTAGTCATTACTACAAATAGCGGAGTCCTCCGGATCGATAGAGTGCTCAATGCGGAAGCAGAGCAGTAACACACGAGTCACAGGAAAACCACGCGTCTTGATTGTCGTAACTTAAAGTTTAGGGTTCACGGCTTGCCACTAAAAGCACCCGTCACGTGCGCCTCCATTTTGGATTATGGACGCGCGCTAGTACAGGCCGCGACAGCGCCTATCGAAGTAAAAAAATATCGACTCGAAGTCTAGCCGGAGAGCGTACTTTTTGAATTTTTCCTTGGCTTCAGACGTTCAGTGGCTTCACTTCACTCGGGCTTTGCATTTTTCTGACTGACCTGGACTTGATGATGGCGGCGGTGGCGGTCTTGGCGAAAGATCCAGTTCCATCTGAGACACTCTGTCGTCTTTTCTTATCTGCTGAGGTTCTGGCAAAGCGCAGCTGCATCGAACCTGACTAGATGTAGCTGCACGCATCCTTTGTTTGCCCTGCAAATCTCGATCTGTTGCTCTTCTTGCTGTTTGGCCGCTGATGCCATGGAAGAAAATATTCTTCCTGTAAAGAGGCCGAAACTGAGCTAGGGCACGTCAAGATATGTAGGGTATACAAAGAAAAAGAAATGTCATGGTCGTTTCAGCAGCTCACGACAGCCAACACGCTCCATCGTCGGGATTGGAAGTATCCAGCACGGCTGTTCCGAGCGCTGCTGCTCTTGTTATTCTTCTTCTTCAGAAATTCTCCACACCTTGTCGGCCAAAGTACGCGCGCGCGTGCACGGAAAATAGATGCGCTGAGCCGTTTCTTGTTCGATTTTGACAAATGGCCCGATATCTGAGACTTTCGACCTTCGGGGCTACGCGGTTTTTTTGAGAAAACACTAAAAACAAATTTGTTCGCAAAAAAATCGAATCTGTCGAAGCAAAGTGCAGAGACGACAATGGCGGAAGGAAATGGAAGGCGATTCTTGTGTCAGTTGGTTATTGGGCTCACGGAGCACAGCAGCCGCGATCCCATGGACGGTGATGCATCGTTCTTTGTGGATATCCTGTCAAGCGGCGACAGCGCTTCTAGTTCTGAGAGCGCATGTCAGTCGAATCGATCGCAAGTGACACGCGGCACTTACCTGTCGGGGGCGACGATGATGAGGACTTGGCCTGGATGAGTATGATCAAGGCCAACCACAGTCTGCCTCAGAGATAGCTGCTACAGCTCCAGGCAAGGACAACCAGTTGGATTCCTGAGGGTACGCCGCTTGCAAGGTCGCTGGCCGCCCTTGCGCGGGTGGCAGAACTGTTTCCTGAGTGTCACGCCAGACCTGCTAAAACAGCACGAAATGATGCGAGTTTTCTTTGCGACGATGATCCTAAAATGTTTTGGATGGCAAGCTCGATACTCGAGCCAATAATGGCGAATCAGACCATCACGGAGCACGTGAGGCTGGGCAATCTCGAGTACTAGTAACATTCTGTTACTTTTGAGTTGGTGGTGTGAAACGCTTGTCAGGCTGTGTTACTGATGTTTTGAAATGGTCAGTCTCCACAAAGTGTGACAAGGCGAATCTGGACGCATTTGCTCTGTTTGACTCCTTCACAATAAGTATGTGAATGCTGTTACATGTATCATGGTGTTCCGTCAAAATCTGTTGCAGACTATCCTGTCAAGCATGTCCATCACCAGGAGAACAGATAAATCACCTCTCCTTCTAATGCTGCTATTGCTGCTGTTGAAACTACACAACCTCAATAAAGTCACGGAATGCTGGAAATGAAGTACCTGAACAGTCAAAACACTTTACTATATTAGTTGGCTATTGATATCACACGGAAACAATTTTTGGTGGCTCCAAACACACTGATCTTTCAAAATTGTAAAAAAAAAGAACAATTCATTAACATGACTCCTGACTGTAAAATGCATTTCTACATGGTCAATATTGGTCTGATGGCCGTGAAACGAAGTGACAATACTCTACAAAGGCTAGACATCAATTTGCAACAAAAAAATCAATTTCACCAAAACAGCCCCGAAGGTCGATTTTCTCAGATATTGGGCCAAATAATGGCTTGTTGTTTTGCTCTCGACCTTGGCTATCCTTCTACCGTTCAGTATTTTACGGAAACGCAACGGTTCCCCCTGTTTTTTTAGCCGAACTTTGGCCAAAGTTACTGGAAAACCCGGAACTCGTTTGAAAAAATACGAACGGTGGAAGTCTTGGAACGTCTTTCGTGCGTGTGGATTCAAAAATTCAGGCAGTTTGAGCCAACCGTAATGAATCCCGTAGAGTTGAAAGTGAGTGATATTGATGGGAAAATGCGATTTGAGCACTGACCGATTGTGTGGGACAGTATATGCACGCGCCTGTCACGTGCATGATGTAGCTGGTGACGCTAGCATGCCAATCCGTGAACCCTAAAGTTTCATGCCATATAGCAATCTTCAGACAACTGAATACGGTGATGCACAGCTAGTATGGTATTTATACAGCAGCATAGGAAGGAATCTGTGAAGGTTTGAGGTCTGGTGGGTGCAAAAAGTCCTGGATGGAAAATGTGCAACGCTTTCCACCTGTATAAATACCATACTAGCTGTGCATCACCGTAATCAGTTGTCTGAAGATTGCTATATGGCATGAAACTTTAAGGGGGCACATCACCCAAAAATTCGCTGAAAAATCGAATTTGTAAATTCATATTAAGTGCTACGTCAGTTGAAAGAGCATGAATAGCTGCAAATTCTCTGAAAACTGTGTCCCTATCTGACCAGCCGTTCAAGAGTTATGGCCGAAAATGTGCCCTTGCAAGGAAAGATTTTTTTGTTGCATGCTGTCATTTGTTGGCAGCACTGTATTTGAATGTGAGCAGACCGTGCGCAACTTGTCGTATTATGGAAACACGCGAAAGTGTGCAGAATTTTGCCCCAAGTCCAAAAAAGTCCAAAAAATCACGTTAAAAAACCACGTATTGGGCTGCACGGCGGCGGGCGAAGCCCGCCGCCGTGCAGCAGGACTTTTGCCAGCACCCTCGTGACGTTGCAGATATGTGGCTTGATTATTGTAGTTGACGTTGATTTAGTGACTTTGGCAAGTTTTTTGTCGTGTCAAGAAGTCAGGTAGGATTCAGTACTAGGCAGTAGTGAAACGTGAGTGGCAGTCTTTGCCGGTTTCTGAGGGCATCCTGGATTTGGTTTGCAGCGCTGTGGAAATGGCTTGCTGTGGAGGTCCCAGCACTGGATGTTGTATCAAAGGTACGACCTCGTAGCACGTGCCAAACCTAAAAAAATTCAAAAATTGCCTTGGGTCTGTGGGAGTCCGTGAAAGAACGCCCACTCGTTCCGTTGTGACAGATTCCAGGGCCACGTTGAGGGGCCCTACCCCACCACCCATGGCTGCTTCTGGACTTGTTTTAGGTTTGGGTCCCGCGCACGGACAGAATGGGCACGAAAATGTGAAAAAAATGTAAATGCATTTGTTTGGCTCCTGGGTGGCTCGCACACCGTAGCACTATGCCGGAAATTTGAGTTTTTCCGGCCTGGAAAGCCTGTCAGTGAGACGCAAGAACTTGTAAATCATGTCCTGAGGGCCAGCATAGTGGCAGGAGTGTGTGGTCAAAATTTCACTCAAATCCACTGAGAAACACCAAAGTTACGGTCAATTGAATGCCATATGAAATTTTTGGGTGATGTGCCCCCTTAAGTTACGACAATCAAGACGCGTGGTTTTCCTGTGACTCGTGTGTTACTGCTCTGCTTCCGCATTGAGCACTCTATCGATCCGGAGGACTCCGCTATTTGTAGCCTGCTCTCACTTTTCAAGTGAGTGAGCACTCTCTCCCCTAGGTTCGAGACGATGGATGCACCTACGCGCATCAACTTGGGATACTCGCTCAAGAACATCCCGATGCCAACGGCCAAGGAATACCGGAAACGACTAATTGAGAAGGTGGAAAGCGTTGCACATTTTCCATCCAGGACTTTTTGCACCCACCAGACCTCAAACCTTCACAGATTCCTTCCTATGCTGCTGTATAAATACCATACTAGCTGTGCATCACCGTAATCAGTTGTCTGAAGATTGCTATATGGCATGAAACTTTAAGTTACGACAATCAAGACGCGTGGTTTTCCTGTGACTCGTGTGTTAGTCATTACTATACTGGTGATACGCTACACCGTAGTACACGTCTGGCGTCTGCACCATGTAATAGGGCTTGAAAGTGATGACGTCAAAACGGCCAGGGAGTAGTAAGTTGACATCAGATTTCTAATTTTGGATCCACTAAGGTGTGACTTTGCTATTGCCTAAGTATGTGGGTGCATAGCAACCCACTCATGTCGCATGCAGGTGTGACTTTTATTTCGCCACCAGTTGTAACCCCGCCCCCAGTAGCCAAATCAGTCAGTTTCACTGGTTACATCACCTTGCTGAGAGTAAGACGGCTTGAAATGTGCTTGGATCCATACAAAAACTGGATCCAAGTGGATCCAATTTTTGAATTTTTGAAATTGTTGCTATGCTGTGACGTAGCACTTTCAAGCCCTATGCCACCATGTCGTCCCCCCGGCCCCCGGGCACCCGCGCCGCGCCGCTCTGTCAGACCGAGATCATATTCATAAAAGGACTTAGGTGTTGCTGCCACATAATCATTGGTGACAAGAATCACAGCCATACATGAAGACAACTACTCGCATCGGGGACCTACCCCATTCCCACATAACAACACTACCTGTAACCAATCAGCAATCACGATCCAATGCTACGCTCTTCTCATCAAATATGGACAAAGAGCTGATGACATCATGTCTTAGGGTGCAGTCCCATACGTGGATACAGACCAGGGTGGTGT